AGTGTCCCCTGCCCGGCGGCGCCAGGCCCCACGGCCCCCAGGCTCCTGGAGACGCTGCTACCCCATTTCATAGGAGAGGAAAGTAGGCCTCAAAGAAGAGCTACGAAGGGGTAGCGAACGTTAGGGATGTGTGAGCTGGGGTGTCCAGGTGCGGGTCTGAGGTCGGCCACTTGGGTTGAAATGTGTGAAAACCCAGGACGGGGTGGGAGGAAGCCATGGAGCAAAGCGCTAGGCCCTGAATGCAGGGAGCGGCGGATTCACAGGCGTTCACTGAACAGCATTTCCACTTTCCGTACGTCTGAAACCTTTTGTGACAAAATGTGGGAGGACAAATGTACACACCCCTCCTGGTCGCCGTTCCGAGTAGCCCGTGCGGCCAGGTTTCCCGAGCCCTTCTGGAGATGGTCGATGGTGCACAGTCCGGCGTGTACCTAGCTCTTCGCGTCCCACCGTGGGGCAGGCCCTGCTGCCCGTGGGCTGCTGTCCCCACGGCTGCTGGCATGGGACCTCCGGCGTGGACACCTGTGGGGCCCCCGGGACAGCCCCCACACCCTGTCACGGGATCGGCCCTGGGGGCCCCAGGTGGTGATGGGCTTTGCCACTCGAGGCCACTGAGGCCGAGAAGAGGTGCACTGGGGGTGTCACTGTAGCCCGAGGCACCTGGCCCTGATGGCCCCCAGCCCTCCAGGGTCATGCTCGGCATCAGCCTCCCTCCACACCCCTGCACTCGTGGTGGCTGTTCCGAAACCTGCAGGAAGAGATGGGTGAGCCAAGGCCCAGGACACCCGGCATGGGCATGGAGACATCCAGGGGGCCTGGCAGGGAGCAGCTCTGGCCTGACCCCGCACTGCCCTGGCAGGGAGGGAGCAGAGGGGCTCATGCAGACCATGTTCTCCTGCTCTTGGGGCTGCTGTGTGCTCCTCAGAGCTGTCCCAGTCCCATCTATAGAATTGGAAACTGAGGCTCAGAGAGGTGGTGATTTGCTCGAGCCCACACAGCGTTCACTCCATCCTTCAGCCTAGTGCCATGCCCTGGGTTCTGCCGTCAATTAGGCGGGGGGAGGAGGGGCTGGCCATCCCTGATGCTCCCCGTCTCCACCTTGGGCCCAGGTTCTCATTCTGGGGAAACAAAGAGTGGGTCTTTGCCACCTGGATTTGGGGTTGAGGGGAAACCCATGTCTGGAGCACCCTCTGCTGGGTGGTCTGTTTCTCATGGGGCCCTGGAGGCTTTAGGAAGGGGCTAGAATATTAGGGGAGGGCAGAAAGGCACTCCCCACCTTCAGGTGTCCAGGTGAGACAAAGCAGGGTGAAAGTTGGCTTTAGACCAGGGGTCTCGCGAACTGACTGCCCCTGGGGCAGCTTGCTTAGAGATTGCTGCTGGGTTCAGGGCTCACCATGGAGGCCAGTATTCAAAAACAGATATCAGATGCGTTAACTTCAGATCTTTTAAAATCGGAAGATCTGCCCACCCTGCACGCTTCCCTGTGCATAGGAAGAAGGAGCCAAGTGTGATGGGCTACGTACCTTCGTGTTAGCCACAGACCACACTGGTCCCTTTCGCCCTGCGCCCACCTGCCTCATTTCGTCACGTGGCCCCGTGGGCACTTGCGCTCTCTTCTTGACCATCCAGAGGGCCTGGTACCTTCAGCCAGCCGGTGGCATCGGAAGTCTGTACACATAACCCTGCGAGGGCCACCGCCTCCTGGGCAGGATAGCTGTGCTTCCCCAGACAGGCCCGGCCCAGTGGACCACCCCCCGTGCGTGTGGGCACGCACACGCATGCACACACACACACACACACGTAACTGAGGGGGGAGCCCGGCCCTCTGAGGGGTTGGCTCTGCTTGCCTGGAGCAGGGGGCTGTCCCGGTGGGCCTCTTCCGACTCCTCTGGCTGGAGCGCCCCACCCCGCCGAGGTCTTAGGGTCTCTGAAGGGCATCACGGAACGCGTGGCCTCCTTCCAAGGAGCCTCCGTTATGGCACAGAGGAGGGACGGACGCGAGGAGCAGAGTTAAGCCTCCTCTAGAATTTGCTTCCATCACTACTGTGGTAGGGAGTGAACTGCTTGTCCCTAGAAGGGTTTAAGCGGGGTCTGTTTCCGTTTACTCGTTTATTTAACAGATATTTGTTGGTGCGTAGGATGTGCCAGCCTTGTTGCAGGTGTGAGGACTCCCGTGGTGACCTCCCTGGGCGGCCGGCCGTGCCCCGGAGCTGACCGTTGGTGGGGACGGACAGCTGGTGCCCCTGTGATGGATGCTAAATCCGTGACCCACAAGGTGCTAGTTGGGACGAGTAGTGGGAAGGAGCGAGCCAGGCTGAGTGCTGGGGAAGAACGGCAGGGAGGTGCTGGTGCCAAGGCCCTGGGGCAGAGATGGCTCCGCGCGCTCCAGGATGGGGAAGGAGGTGGACGGGCAATGGGACGGAAGAAGCCAAAAGTGCGAGGCCTCTGGGCCGTGGCGGGGAGGAGATTGGTCCCATTCTCATCTCTCGAGTTCAGGGACCAGCTTATTACAGTCGGAGCCCTTATGATTCTGTGGCCCCTGTTGGGGGGTGACGTCTCTAGCTTGTTCAAAGCTCTGAGTGATTCTCTTCAAGTCAGCCATTCAGTAGCTCACTTACTCATCAGCAAACATCTCCAGAGCCAGCTGTGCTGGGGCTGGGGAAAGACCTGGCCCCCCACCTCCAGAAGAGGCAGTGTGATGGGGGTGGGGAGGAGAGGCCAGCAGAGGGTGTAAAGCGCAGCTGGAGGTCAGGGAGGGCTTCCTGGAGGAGGCGTCAGCTGAGGGCCCAGCCACGGGGCTGCAGTGCTGCGCTGGAACACAGTTCCAGCCACCCGCACTGAGTGCCGAGGGCAGGGGCAGTAGTGGAAGGGGTCATCACGAGGTGTGCCACCCTGCGGCAGGACCCTCTGAGCTCACAGCTCCCTGCGCCCCCCTCACAGAAGGGAAGACTGAGGCCCAGGAATGAATGCGTGGGTCCGGCGCCCCTGTGGTCTGAATTGCCCCTCGGCAGCTTGTAACCCGGAGCAGGCGAAGGGCTGATTCGAAGCTGACTCAGCTCAGGGCCAGCAGTCGAGGGATGGGTATGCGTGTGCTCGTGCATGCGTGTGCGTGGGGCCCGTCAGGCCTGGAATTTTTGGCTCCACCCCTCATTTGCTGAGCAAGCCTCCTCAAGTTACTTAACCTCTCTGAGCCTGTTTCACATCTGCAGGATGAGTGTTGCTCTCCCTACCTGGCCGAGTTCTTGGGAGACGGTGCGGGCCTGGCCCTTGTGTAGGGCCCAGCAACACTCAGAGGCAGTGTGTCCGGCTCTGAGCCGCAGGCCATCCCCAGGCTTGGTGACCCGTCCCCACCCCCGGGAAAAGAAAGGCTGGCATCTAATTTGGCTTTTTTGCCCTCCCACCTTGCATGGCTACTGGGGAGACAGCACTTCATGACGGGGGCCTTTGGTCTGTAGGGAAACTGAGGCCCACAGAGGGTGAGCCGCCAGCTCAGGTCACAGAGCATCAGGGGCCTGGCACCTCAAGCAGGGACGCCCCTATCGCTGGGCTCAGAGTCCCCAAGAACAGAAGCAGCCTGGCCAGATCACAGACGCGGGTCGGGGCGCCCCCTGCCCCACACGGCGTGGGCAACCCCCTTCCCAATACCCCAGGCCTTCCCAGGGTACAGGTCGGCCTGCCGGCCCCCAGACTCCCGTCGTCTCATCTGTCCTGGACACAAAAGGCCAGGCCTCCCACAGGCGGGGGCAGGGCGGGAAGGGGCTCCTGGGCCAGCTGGGCTGTGGACACCGGCAGGGAAGTGCGCGGAGACAGGAAGGAAGCGCACTGCTGGAGTCTGGGGCCACCATTGTCTCACCTGGGGGTGGGGGTGCTGAGATGGCCCCATGCTGAAGCTGACTCCTGCACCCTAGCCTCAGTTTCCCTGTCTGTAAAACCTCAGCCAGACGCGTGTGTGTCCAGCATTGCACAGCAGGTGACACGTGCAGCCGGCCATCCAGTGCTTTGCCCGGATCCACTCACGGCCTGAGGGCTCCACTTGTCCCCAGAGGCTCCGGAACTGGCCCAAGGTCATACCTCAGGGCAGCAGGGCTGGAACCCAGACCCGGGCTGCAGGCTCCAGAGCCCAGGGCCTTACCTGCTCAGCCCTCCTGTCTGCTACACCCACCTGCCTCTTCCTTAAGGAATCCCTTGTTCAGGCTAAATCCTGGGGAGCCTCATCCCGAGCAGCGACATCCCCCCTTTATCAAGATCGATGGATAAACAGACGATAGATGGATAGAAGGGTAGACAGACGGCTGACTGACTGGTAGATACAACAGCTGGGGTTAAATCCAGCGCTGGGAGGCTGCGAGCTGCACTCCCCGTCCCCAGATGAGATTTTCAGGGCTCCCTCCCTTCCTCTGCACCCACCCTGCCCCCACTCCACACACACACACACACACACACACATATGCACGCACGCACACACACACACACACCCCAGCAGGACTGGGAGCACGTCTCACTTCCAGGTGGGACAAGGAGAAACAGGAAAGACTCCGTCCTTCCACCCAGCAGGAAGCAGGGCGAGGAGGCTTCGGGACCTCCCAGCAGACTGGGACTGGGCAGGATGTTCTCCCAAGGGCTGAGCCAGAGGGGGTGTGCCCAGGGGTCTTGCAAGGGCAGCTGGCTAGGAGCCCCCCATCATCCGATGTCATCTGACACCACTCCCCTTCCAGGGAACGAGGGGAAGAGGTGAGGGGTCAGACCATCCCCAGGGCACATAGGTCTCAGGAGACACCCCACCCCCATCTCTGGTGGGGGAGTCTAGGGCTGCATCCATCACCCCAACCTCACCCCCTCCGGTCCCGCACTAGCAGCCGAGCCCCTGCAGCCTGCTCAAACTTTATTGAAGGTAGATCTAGAATAGGAGGGGCCAGAACCACAGACCACTCCCCTCAGCTCCCTCTGCGTGGGCTCCACTGAACAAGGGATGGTTGATGGCCGAGGCTCCCTCCGGGGACTTCGGGCACAGCTCAGTGGCCCCCGTCCCTGCAAGCATCCAAGACACCCGCCTCAGCCCCAGCCCCAGCCCAGAACCAAGCTGGCCATGGGGGTGGGATGTGGACAGTGGGCCCTGCTCCCTCAGGCTTGCAGAGGACGAAGCAGGGCCCCCCTCCCGGGCTGCTGGGGCCTGAGGGGTCCCCCGGTGCGGTAGGGGCGCAGAGCTGGAGAGCGGTGGGGCAGGGGGGGGCAGGTACGTTACCACCAGCTCAGGTCCCTCCTGGCCAGCTCCACCTGGGCCAGGCGGTGGTCACTCAGCACCTGCACCCGGGTGATGGCCGCCAGTGGCCTGTGACGGTGTGCGAACTGCAGCACCTTGTGCTCCTGGGCGTGGACATGGAAGTGCTCCTCATCTGAGCTGACCTCCATCTGGGGACGGGAGGCCGGTGACCCACGGCTTGCCACGGAGCCCGGGTCCCCTCACCACGCGGAATGCCCCGTCATGCAGGCCCGCCCCAGATGGGAGCCCCGAGCCCCAGCCGGACGGACGTCCCCTTCCTCACTGAGGGGTGCACCCGCCTGCACCCAGCAGTGAGACTCCCCGCGGTCTTTACCTGTAAACCTCCACAGTACGCAGGGGACACAGCGTCCTCCCCACAAAGTAGCGGTAGCTAGCCTCACAGCCCGATAGCCTCACAGGTACCCCAGTCCTGGCCTCCCCCCGCCCCCCACGGGCCTCCCCTCCACTGCCCCCTTCACCTCAAAGGGCTCCCCCAGCACCAGCCGGAAGACGCTGGACACTTCCTCCTGGCCCCAGCGGCCCCCCTGGAAAGTGTTGCCCACCACGGTGGCACTGGAGAACCGGGGCTTGATGTGGAAGGCAATGTCCCCCGCCTCGGACAGGAAGTTGATCTCAAACCTGGGGGGTGTCATGGGGGCTGTGAGACAGCAGATGCCTGGGGAGTCACCCTGCCCAAGGCTGAGAGGGGACCCCTGGGGAGGGCGGTGACCCTTACTTGTCCTCTCCAGAGTCAGAGTGTCCCTGGACCAGCAGGCTCCAGCCAGGGGCCAGGCCCCCTGCACAGAAGGCTTCGAACTGCATGCAAAAGGGGGCAGAGTGTACCCCATTTGTCCAGGGGGCCCCAGCCAGTCTCACGCCCAGCTCGGGCTCTTCCCCAGGACCCTGGCCCTCTGAGCAGCGTTCCCTTCACGTCAGGGCGGTAGGAGTCCCCCACCCCATGCCCTCTCGTCCTGCAGGCCTGGGGAAGGAGCACCGGAGATGCGGGGAGCCCCCGCCTGGGCCTGCTTCCTTCTCACCCACCTGCAACGCCATCTCGCCAGCTTCTGTGGGTGCGGAGCATGAGCCGGGGCATATAGGCAGGTGGGCAGGCCGGGCCGGGTGCGGAGCTCCACCCCAGGGACAGCCAGCAGGCTGCTCCACCCCTCCCTGCCCCCCACCCCGCTTCTCCCCCTGACTATCAGCAGGTATGCCATTCAAGCACCAGAGACAGGATGGCCGGCCCTGGGCCCCTCCCACCCCCACTTCACTTTTTAGGGTCCTAGGAAAGCACTTCTGCCTCCCACCCCAAGCTTGCTTCCTCTGGGCATCCAGGGACCCAAACCCTTATCACTGCTCAAGTAGGGGAGGGGGGACGGCAGGCCCACCGACACTGCCTGGGCCTTCTGGGGGCCAAGCCTGTGTCCCCCCCAGCCCAGCCCAGCCCAGCCTCCCCGGCTATCCTGCTCCAGCCAGCTCAGCTGGCCCCATGGGGCACTGTGCTGGGATTAGGCTGGGGCTGTGGTCAGCGCATTCCTGGGCTCTGGCTGATGGAGTGGGGGAGGGCCTTTCCCACACCCCAACGCCCCCCCTGGCCTGGTGCCTCAGCCCCTCTCAGCTGAGCTGGGGAGGAGGCCAGGCTGGGGCCCCCACCGAGTGTGTAGGGGAGAAGGACAGGGTCTCCCCAGGCTTTCAGGGCAGCTGTGGGGCCGCCTGGCTGGACTGTCCAGGGAGCTGGCCCAAAGGGGAGCCAGGCTGGGCCCGTGGAGCGCTGGGGCTGCTGCGTGCGGTGAGTGTGTGGGGAGTGTGGGCATGTGGTGAGCGCCGGATCCCGTGGCTGCACAAGCAAGTGTCTGTGCACACGTGGGCCCGTGCGTGTGAGTGGTGTCGTGTGCGAGTGCACGTGTGTGTGCCTCCGGCCCCCCCTGCTGTTTCCCTGCCCAGTGCATCTCAGGCCCAGGCCCCGGGGGTAGCCCAGCTGCCTGCAACCCCATCATTCCCCTCGGCCTCCCCGTGGGTCGGCCAGTCTTGGGGAGGGGGGCATGCTGAGGCCGGGAAGGGACACGGAGATGGCCGGACGGCTCATTGGCAGTGCGGGCACTGCGCAGCGCTACAGTCCTCCCGGGTGGCACGGGCAGGGCTGGTGGGGCCTGCAGGGGGCAGCGCTGAGCAGCGGAGGTGCTGCCCAAGGAGCCTTCCTCGGCGGTGTCCTGGCTCCCACAACTGGCCCACCTTGCAGAGCCCTGTCCCAACCCAGCCTGGCCGTCCTGGGATTCACAGGCTGAGGACCCCTCGTACCTGCCTCCCACAAGGACCACAGAGAAGGGAGGCCCTGCCACTTGTCCAGCAGGAGGTGAAGCCTGGCTGTGCCTCCCCACCTCCCTGTCCGGTCCCCTGTCCTTGGGGTGCAGGGACTGGGCAGTCAGGGGTCCAGAGAAGGCTTGAGCTAGTAGCCTCTGAGCCTCAGTCTTCCCAGCTGTGCACTGGGCTCAGCAGTCCTGCAGTGCAGGGCTGACCTCTACCCCCTGGGCCTGTCCCCTCGGCGGAGGAGGGTGGCCCAGGCACAGGAAGCTGGGCCACTGTCACCGTACTTTGGGGTCAGCAGGGGCACTGGTGGAGGGACCTTGGGTGTCAGCTGCCTAGAGCCCTCGCTAGGCATCAGGGGCCTGCGAGTGGGGCTTGTCCCTCAGACTCCCTGGACAGAAGGCCCGAGTACTCTGCCTGGACCAGGGCGCTGGTCTGGGGTGAGGAGGCCTGAGGGACCCTTGATTCGGGCAGGCCCGCCCCTCTCTGAGTCTCAGCCTCCCCACCTGGGCGATGGGGGTTTGCAGGTAGCCGAGGGGGCCTCGAGGGGGCAGGGGGTGTGAGCCTGGTCCGTCTGAGGCCAGCCTGGAGGCCTCCAAGAGTCCCACCTGCATGAAGCAGGCTCTGGGCCTCCACACACACCGCAGCGCTTGCACCTGGCCTGAGCGGACACCTGGCCAGGCTGTGGTCTTGCCTGGCCCAGGCTTTGGAACCTCTCCCACGAGGGGCGAGGGGCGGGAGCCAAAAGCAGCCCAAGCTCTCCGCGGCAGGGACCTGAAAGGCCCGAATGGGGCCGGGGAACTAAGAGAGGGACAGCGAGGCTCCATGTGGCTGGCCCAGCCCTGCAGGCACCCCCCAATGTCATGGAGTCCAGGTGGGACCTCAGCCAGGCGCCAGGGGTCGGGGCAGCCATGGGCAATTCCCCCCCTCCCCGGCCGAGTTGCTGGCCCTGGGAGCAAACCTGCCCATCCAGGCGCCGCCCCGCCTACTCCTGGATGTGTGGTTTTGTCCCGGGCAGTTGACTGTCACAGGCTGAGAGGGGGCAGTGGGGTCTCCACCCAGTTAGGCTGAGGATCTTCACCAGCACTCAGCCCCTCATCCAGTGGGATGGGGCGTTATCAGGGTTGGCTTCCTGGAGGAAGTAGTACCTCAAGCAGGTCTTGAAGAATAAGGACTTAGAAGGGTGCTGGAGGGCAAGATAACAGGCCCAGCCCTGGGGGATGGACTCGCAAGGATCTGACACACCTTCAGGACAGTTTTCAAGGATCCATGGCCTCATCTCTTGGGAGGGCACCCACCTTCCATGGGCATCCTGGGGCCAGGCATACGTGCCCCGGCTGGCTCAGACTGGAGGAAGCCCCTAGAGCCCCCGGAGCCCCCAGGGAGGGTGGCGGTGCGAGAACACGGATGCCCGTCCAGTGTTCTTCTCAGCCCCCCATCCGCTCTTATCCCGCCGCTCCCCCCCCCCCCCCCAGCATGAGCACCCAGCCCGGCCCAGCCGTGGGCGATCCCAGGTCGTTGGGGGTCTCGAGCCAGCCCTCCCACGACCCCCATGCCATCCCCGGCCCACATATGGAGCCGCTCCCTGATGGCGAGGTCAGCACAGAAAGTCTCAGCCCCCACCTGGCAAGGGGCAGCTCTGGAACCGGACACGTGGCCTCAGGCCGGCTCTCCCCCGGCTGGGCGCTTGGCGGCCTTTGGCACGTAGTGGCTGTGTCTTTTCCTCCCCCTGGGGCTGTGGCGTGAGTGTGCATTCTGGGTAAGCAGGGAGACGGAGCCCAGCATGCAGAGTGAGGGCAGTCAGGAGGCACCGTGCCACCATGGCCCAGATGGGGAAACCGAGGCCTCGGAGCCCCAGGGTGCCCCCTCGTAGGGCCTGCTAAAGGCTGGGAGGGGCTGATCCGGGGCTAACCAGGACCCAGGGCTCCAGGGCGAGGATAGCAGGGTCCCCCACTCCCTGGTGCCCCCTTGCCTGTCCCTCTGGAATCCCCTACCAGCTATGCCCAGCCATCACCTGCCCCGAGTCCCACTCTGTCTCTCATAAAGCCCTCCTGGCTCTCTCCCTCCTCTGAATCATTCTCTCAGGGCAGAGGTCACTGTACCCCGGGCCATTCACGGAGGCCCTGCTGTGTGCCAGGAGCTGCCCGGTACCCTCCAGGGTCAGGAGGAAGGAGGCAGGTCTGAGCCTGGCCCCTGGGGGCCCTTCTCTCGTTCGGTGTGGACGGAGGCGCCCCGGCCCAGGGCAGGGCGCCGTCGGGCCGGTCGGGGAGCTCGGTCATCATGGCTCTGGTGGCTGTTACTTCTATGGTGTGCTCGGTGCCCTGCCTGCCACGTGTGCCCCTCGCTGGTGGAGGGAAGCAACCCGCTGCTCACTCACTTGCTCGGCCCACGTTTGTTGTGCATCTGTGATGTGGCAGGTCCTGAGCAGGTTCACAGACAGACAGACAGACAGACACGGTCTGTGCTCTCGCGGAGCTCCCAGTGTCTGAGGGAGGGCGGCAGGCATTAAATGACAAATCCAGCCTCACGTTATCCAGTTATCAGGTTCTGAAGGGAAATCTGGGGAGTGACAGTTGTGTCCGGGGGGCATGGCCTGATACCAGCAGGTCAGGGAGACCTCCTGGAGGAGGTGACTTGGAGCTGAGCCCAGAAGAGGAGGGGCTCGCCAGGAGGGGGTGGGGGAAAGAGTGTGGCCAGCAAAGGAAACGGCATGTGCAAAGGCCCTGGGGAGGGCAGAGCAGAGCTGTGGGAGTGTGAAGGGCTGGGATGGGGCTGGGAAGGCACGTCGCCCCCCTGCCTTTGCTGCCTGGCTGGGGTCCAGCCCTTCCAGCCTCCCCTGCCAGGCGCCACCTTCCCCTCCCCTAATTTGGCCCAGCATTGTTCCTGGCCAAGCCGCCCACCCAGTGCCTGGCCATTGTCCGGGTGTCCTGCTTCCCGCCCTTGAGTCTCTTATCATGCAGAGAATCTGCTCGCTTGGGGGCATTTGGGGGCTGATGAGGCTTTACTGGAGCCAGCGCTAGGCCAGGGCTGCCAGTTCTGACCCCACCCCTCTTGCTGGCATGGGCTGGCCAGCAGCGGCCGAAGGACACTCAGCAGAATGGCCTGGCCTCCCTCCTGCCGGGACCCACAGGACTGCCCCTCCTGATCCACACCTTTCCCTCCATGCCCTACAAATCAAAGCACAGCCACCTGCTTTTGACAGGCCCCTTTCTGGGCCTCAGTGTCTTCATCTGGAGTCATGGGATCATGGGCATGGTCCAGATGCTTGGCCAGGGGACAGAAGCAAGGCTGCCCTTGGCCCAAAGGGGGGGGACACGAAGGTGGGGCTCTGGGCAGCCCGGGCCACTGGAGAGGCCACGCTGTGCAGGCGAGGCTGGGGTTTCTCCCTCCCCGATGGGCCTGAGCCTGGGGCGACAAATGGAGGCTGCCTCCCAGACAGAGGCTCTCCTGGAGGGCAGGACCCATGTCTACCAAGAGTCCCCCGCCCAGACCAGGCCTTAGCCCCCGAGTTCTCACGCCCC